ATTTTGATGCAATATTTACACTGAAGCTTGCAGGCGGCTATGGTAAGGGGCATGACATTTCCCGACCAGGTGCCGAGTGCTGCCAATCACAACACACACTGGCCCGGCTAACCAATCACAACACACACTGGCCCAGCTAAACAAATCACAACACACACTGACCCAGCTAACCAATCACAACACACACTGGCCCAGCAAACCAATCACAGCACATTTCGTATTTCAGAAGGCGGGCTTTCATTTGATGCAGGAACTGTTCGATCCGTTCATGCGAGACTGGGGAGAGAGGTGTTAGTATGAGAGCCTGTTCTAGTACACCCCCAAAACAACATCAAGACTTTGTAAAAGAGCATAATAGGACCCCTTAAATCAGCCACTTTATATTCATTAAAGAATCCTGAAAAAAAATGTATCACGCTGTCCCCAAAACTATTAAGCAGCACAGCTGTTTTCAACTTTGATTATAATAAAATAATTATTCTTGAGCGCCAAACCAGCATATTAGAATGATTTCTGATGGATCATGTTACACCGAAAACTGGAGTAATGTTGCCATCACAAGAAAAATGTCATTTTTAATGTATAAGAAAGTTATTTTAAATTATAAATATACATATTTCATAATATTCCAGTTTTTACTGTATTTTCGATCAAATGAAGGCAGCTTTGATGAGCATAAGAGACTTTTTCAAAAACATAAAAAAAAAAATTACTGTTCCCAAACTAAGAACTGTACTTGTTATCTGACTGACTAGCATCAAGGAAACAAATCAAACCAAACCAAACCACATTTATCATCACGAAAGTTTTGGTGTGCAGTACATAACATCACTGCAGTGTCAACAGAGCTCCAAACTTTCAAGATAAGCTTAAAAACACAAAACAAGCCATAATTCTGTCAAGGAGTCAAAAGACTGTACTGTCTGAATGGAAGTCAATAGAGGAGATGCATTGGAAAGAAAGATGAATAAACTTTTATGTGGAAAAAGTTAGGCACAATAAATTGAACGACTATCTGGTAATTTTCAACATGTCTGCCATGACATATTAATTGTAGAGTGAGATATATTTGGGGTAAACTACCAAAGATATCACTGTTTTATAGAAGTCACAGTCAATTCAAACACGGGATCAGCAAACGTAAAAATGAATTAAAAAAAAAATTACTGTTCCCAAACTAAGAACTGTACTTGTTATCTGACTGACTAGCATCAAGGAAACAAATCAAACCAAACCAAACCAAACCACATTTATCATCACGAAAGTTTTGGTGTGCAGTACATAACATCACTGCAGTGTCAACAGAGCTCCAAACTTTCAAGATAAGCTTAAAAACACAAAACAAGCCATAATTCTGTCAAGGAGTCAAAAGACTGTACTGTCTGAATGGAAGTCAATAGAGGAGATGCATTGGAAAGAAAGATGAATAAACTTTTATGTGGAAAAAGTTAGGCACAATAAATTGAACGACTATCTGGTAATTTTCAACATGTCTGCCATGACATATTAATTGTAGAGTGAGATATATTTGGGGTAAACTACCAAAGATATCACTGTTTTATAGAAGTCACAGTCAATTCAAACACGGGATCAGCAAACGTAAAAATGAATAAGCCAACATTTCCTTCACAGAAACTCTAATGCATGACATCTTTAGTTTATCCAATAAATGCCCAGTGTCTTGCCCTCTATGTGGAAGTACTGCTACGGTCAACACAATAAATGAGGCATCATTATGTGTTTATTTGAAAAAGGCATGCATATAATTTTATCTATAAATGTCTAAAGCATAGAAACTGCCATTTATTCAATTCCAGTCCAACCCAAAGTTATGAAGTCCAACTATTACCCTAGCCATTTTGTTCTGCTGATGACCATGGTAACAGGAATGGCAGATAGGGCACAGAGGATAAGAGAGTGGAAGAGTGAGTGGGAAGAGCAAGGGAAGAGGGGAATAAAGCAAGAGGAATAGGGGGGTTTGGGGCCGGTAATGAGTTTTAGGAGCGGCAGGATGGAAACAGGATGAGAGTCTCCAAGAGACTCGTTTAATGCAGAACAGAGGGAGTTTTATACCCGCTTCTGAGGAAGACCTTTTTTGTTTTTCCACTTCCTCTCTCTCATTCGGGTTTGAAGGAATGAGAAGGTGGGCAGAGATGATTTGGCTCATTGTTCTGTTCGGTTGTGATTAGGGATACTTCATTCCAAATGCATTTTACAGAGTGGCTACAGCATGAGCAACATGTAATGAGCGCATCACATGCTATCATCATTAATAATGTGCTAAAAGGTCATTTTTGTGTTCTTGATATATATTAGCTGGAGTAGTTTATCCACTTTAAAGGGATAGTTCACCCAAAAATTTAAATTCTGCCATCTGCCATTTACTCAACCTCACGTCGTTCCAAACTTGTAACTGACATTATATATTTTTTCTGTGGAACATAAAAGATAATTTGAGAATTTTTTGTGTGTGTTATTATTTCAATACAATGAAAGGCAGTGCTCACCAAAACTGTTTGGTTTATCAAAATTCTTAAAAATATCTTCTTTTGTGCTCTGCAGAAGAAATAAATTAATACAGGTTTGCAACTACACGAGGGTGAGTAAATGATGACAGAATTTTCCTTTTTGGGTGAACTATTAAATGAGAGATGGGAAAGATTTAAGAAAACCACTATTCCCATACAGGACACACACACACACAAAGTTTAGTCAGGAATGACTGTCGCAGCAGGAAGTTGACTTATTAGATCTACTTTCTTAAGAAGCCAGGGGTGAAAATAGATTAAAGCCCACCCTGCCGAGTGAGACAGAGACAGAGTGTGTGAGTGTGCGAAAGAGACGAAAAAATCTTCAAAGCTGTATCATAAAGTATCTGATTCCAGTGCTGCAGATAACACATCTAACAAAATACACATTCTTGTGTTTGAGGGCACGAGTGTGAGGAGAGGAAATGATAATGAAAAACACACGGCTTGACGTGATGGCAGGTGACATGTCCATATAGGCCTACCTAAAACAGTTAGCTTTTTACAAAATCACCCGATAATAAATGTGATGAGTGACAAACTGAAACAGCTTTACAATGCCTGTGCTTCCCAGCAGGACTACCATCATGTCTTAAATTAAGCTTATTTTGCCACTGGTAAGAAGTTTTTTTCTTGTTTTAAGAATAAATTCCATTCAAGATATACACTACCATTTAAAAGTTTGCGGTCAGTAACTTTTTTTTTTTCAAAAGGAAAGGGAATTGCATTAAATTGATAATTGATCAAAAGTAACAGTAAAGATATATTGTTACAAAAGATTTCTGTTTCAAATCAGTGCAGTTCTTCTGAACTTTACATTCATGAAGTAATTCTGACTGACAGTTTTCACAAAAAGTAGCACAACTAAACAGCACAACTGTTTTCAGAATTTAAAATGACAAGAAATATATCTTGAGCACCAAATCAGCGTAATAAAATGATTTCTGAAGGATCGTGTGACATTTAAGACTGGGGTAATGACTACTGAAAATTCAGCTTTGCCATTACAGGAATAAAAACATTTTTAAAAGAAGTTATTTTAAATTGTAATGACAGTTTACAATATTACGGTTTAGATATTTACTGTATTTTTTATTAAATAACTGCAGCCTTGGTGAGCATAAGATGCTTCTTTCAGAAACATTAAACAGTCTTACCGACCCCAAACTTTTGAACAGTAGTGTATTCTCTAAAAATATGATTATATTGAAATCTATTATATATATTAAAATGCTATTTTTCTTCTCAAGAAAATGTTACTGTGCTTACTGAGCCAGTAAAAATGCCTATAAAAATGTCCATAAAAACGATGTCCTGGGACCAGTGGTGTGCGGTGGTGTTTTAAAAAATTATACATTTCATAGTGTTTTTATGCATTTTTATATTTATTCCAAAATAATAAAGGCAGCAACATTTACTAATGCATTATTAAAATCAAAATTTTTATTTGTTAACATTTGTTTATGCACTGTGAACTAACATGAACTAACAATGAACAACTGTATTTGTATTAACTAGTGTAAACAAAGATGAATAAATACTGTAATAAATGTCATTTTCTTCATTCAAACCGAGAGCTCGAACCAATCCCATCCGACCTTAACCGATCATATCCAATTATAGCACGATGGAGACATTGCCTCCTCTCACGTGACTTTCCCCCGTTCATTTCAATGAGCCTCCAGAAAAGTCACGGCACGTTAAGGGGTCTCTGTAGAAAGTCAATGGACCGAAGGGAGGCAAGCCTCCGCTGTAAGTTCTGTCAGGACTACTATCGTCAAAGATGATTGACAATTAGCATACAGTTTGGATTGGCGGTATGGTTCCGTTCTGGGCAAGAACTCCCTGTGCATCCATGCAGCCTAGCATGGATGAGAGCAGGGAGAGCAGCAATCCCTTATATATGAACTTAGATAGGTGTCGTATTCCCATAGGTTGATGGGGATCAGCTGAGAGTCAGCTGATGCGAGCTTGACTAACGTGACCTGCCAGAACTAACGCTACGCTTGATTTTACTTCACTGTTGGACAGTGTTACTTTATAAAAACGAGTGACTTTTAGACTTTTAATATCATATTTAGTCATATTTGCGCTGTTTTATTTTTGTAATATTGATTATTTTCTCATCCAACTTTTTGAGGAGACACTGCCTCCCTTGCCTCCTCGGAGGAAACGCCCCTAGTGCCTGGGACCCATACCTTTTAGTGACAATGCCAAACACATTAACATATATTGTTATTTAATCAAAAAAATAAATTAACATACTTTGATGAAAAAACTCCTTGACCAAAAAGTCAACATGATACAATAAATTCTCATATAAGCACATTAGCATTGATGACTTCAGTACAGTTCAAGGAGGAAATGAACTGTGTAAGAGAAATGAAGAAGTGTAAAATGAAATGAACGACAGGCCAGACACGGGACGTTGTTCCTGATGCTGAAACGCTAATGCGGTTTTTGCTTCCTTTC